TGTTACCGTAACAAAAATGGACTGGGGTGATCTTCCTTTTATGTTTCAGGACAAGGACTTACTATTGCTGCTATGTCTTTGATGGCTTGCAGGTCCTCTGTTCCTTCCCTCCTGTCTTCCCTTGTGTGTTGATGACACCTGACCATGGTGTGTCTTGTCCCTTTTCTCTTAACATCTTGCATATATACTAGTTATGCAAGTATATCTAGATAATAATACTAAGATACTATTTCTTATCTCTTTCTTTTGCTTCCTTTCCTCCTTTCTTTTTTCCCTTCCTTCCTTCCTTTCTCCCTCCCTCCCTCCCTCCCTCCCCTCCTTCCCTTCCTCCCTTCCTCCCTTCCGTCCTTTCTTCTTTCCTTCCTTATTTCCTTTCTTCCTTCCTTTTTTTTTTCTCCTTCAAGACAAGGCTTCTCTGTATAACCTTGGCTGTCCTGGAACTTGCTTTGTAGACCAGGCTGCCCTCAAACTCAGAGATCCGCCTGCCTCTTCCTCCAAGTGCTCTCACAAAGAGGGTTTTTATTTGGAGAGAGGGAATGGGAAAAGTGGGGAAAGGGAAGGGGGAGGCCAGCCTCTGGGGACAGGAGTGGTGGAAGAGAAGAGAGAGGCAGAGAGAGAGAGAGAGAGAGAGAGAGAGAGAGAGGCAGAGGGAGAAAGAGAGACAGACAGAAACAGAGAAAGACAAAGAGAGAGAGAGAGATAAAGAGAGAGAGACAGAGACACACACACACACAGAGAGAGAGGCACAAAAGCCTTCCTGCCCCTTCAAGGAACAGCAGGCAGAAATTCACAGTCTGCTGGAAGCTCCCTGTGTACGAAAGTTACTTTCCTATTCCTTTCAAACCTTTTGCATAGACTTGAGGTTTAATGTGACTTGTTTTGGTGTAGATGTTTTGTGACCTCGTGAATCAAAGATTTTTCCTCCCCTAAATTTTGGAAGTTTTCATTCATTTATTTTTTTGTTTGTCCGGAGACTTGGTGGTTTTATGTAGTCTCAGCTGGCTGGAAACTTGCTATGTAGACCAGGCTGGCCTCTGACTCACAGAGATTCGCCTGCCTTCTGAGTGCTGGGATTAAAGGTGTGTGCGGCCATGCTTCCTTTATTTATTTCCTAGATGATCTTCCCCTGTCTTTTTTTCTCTTTCTCAGACAGCCACGCTGCACGTATTATTCTGTTTTCTTGAATTTTCTATTTGTTCTTTTTACTAGATCATTTTAAAAGTGTCTTTGAATCGAGGATTCTTCTGTTTCGTCGGCTGTGCTGTTAAAATGCTCCATTGCAGGGCACTGTATCTCTCAATTTCCTATATTTCTGTCTGTTTTAAAAAGTGGTTCCGTTTCTTTACTGCACTTCTCCTTTTATTCAAACATGATTTTCCGGATTCCATTTTGCTGCCTGTTTTGTTTCTTAGTATCCTGTTTTTTAAACTGAAGATTTTTTTTTTCGTACAATGTATTCTGATCACAGTTCCTTCTCCCTCATTTCAGACCCATCCCAGATCCTCCCCACCCATCCAACTCCTCCTTCCTTCTTTCCCTCTCTCTCTCTCTCTCTCTCTCTCTCTCCTCCTCCTCCCTCTCTCTCTCTCCCTTTTTCAATATCAAAAAGGCAAAACAAAAGAAACAAATAACTCCAGATTTTAAAAAGAAAACAGAGAAAGCATGGGACGCACCCCCAAATAGAACCCATAAAAACACAAAATTAGAAACCATAACATTCAAGGAAAAGACCAGTAAGGTAATTTCCAGGCAAAGCAATAAGTATGAGACCAAGAATCTCCAATAGTACCACGAAGTTCATTTTGTGTAGCCATCCACCGCTGAGCCTGTCCTCAAGTGCGGTTTGTAAACACAGTGGGACTTCATTGGAGAAAACCTATTTTTCCTTTGCAAGGGTTGTCAGTTGGAGACAGGTTCTTGGTTAGGGATGGAAGCCTGTGCCCAGCTTCCTTTCTCATTGCTGGGACCCCATCTGACTTGGATCTGTGCAGGCCCTGGGCATGCTGCCTCAGCCTCTGTGAGTTCATACATTTGCCAGTCCTACTGTGTGTCGAAGGCCCTGTTTCCTTGGTGCCCGCCATCCTCACGGACTCTGACAGTCTTCCAGCTCCTCCTCCACATCGCGCATTGACCTCTGAAAGGGGAGAAATGATGGAGACATCCCACTGAGGGCTGAATGTTCCAACACACTCCTGCACATTGTCCAGCCATCTCTGTTTTAGCTCCCATCTACTGAAGAAGGAAGCTTCTCTGGCGACCATTGCCTTATCGTTCATTACGTTTTAAGAAAACTGTTCTGAATTGTTTTTCAGTCAGTTTACTGATCTTCATTTCTTTGTGGTTAAGTTATCCGTCGTTTGAGTTTTATTACTTTTCGATGGCAATGTTGTGAAGAAAACCACATTAAGCATAAACACACAAATTAGTTAGGAAGGTAAATGTGGCAGCCATGGAAGTCAAAACTGTAGGAGAGTCATTCAGTGGAAGACTAAGTGCAAATTAAGACAATGGTGGGGAGACAAAGGGGAGAGAAACAGATGAAGGCATAAGGACGGGAGAAGCCACCAGACCAGGCCATGAATTGAAGAAGAAGACACAAAGAGGATCTCTTTCTGCCTGTCCTCCTCTGAGGTGAAGGCACATGAAGCTTGTTGAGTCTGTACGGCTTGAAGTGGGAATGGGAGCTGGGCATGTAATTGGTGCTTTGCCTGCTCTGAGACTTCCTAATCACCACCTCGTCTCCCGGTCCAGATCCTGCCTGCTGGTCTGAGGTAGCTTGCAAGACTGCACAGGAAGATGTCTGGACTGTGGCTAAGCTCAGCCAGACTCAGTCTTGCATGCCAAATGAGGACAGGTGCATGTGCTTCTTAGCTGCCTGGACCCATTTACTGCCCTCTAGTGGCTATGGGTTGTTATACAGCAGAAGGAGCAAGACCTCCATTCTCAGATACAGTGAATCGGATGGTGAGGAAGAGGAAGGACAACAGAGGATCAAACTGCCTGCAAGTTATCCTTCATGTCTACATCTTGAACAGTGAGGTGAAATTATCTACTGCCAGGAGGTTTCTTTAGGGAAGGGACTGATTTTGTTTAGCAAAATATCTTGATAGCAAGCACCCTTTTATGAATGAGACAGAAGAGGCAAAGGTCAGAGTTGATGGTATACTGTATGAATGAGACGGAAGAAACAGATCAAGGTTGATAGCATACTGTATGAATGAGACGGAAGAAACAGATCAAGGTTGATAGCATACTGTATGAATGAGACAGAAGAGGCAAAGAGTAGGGTAAGTAAAAGCCAGTGGCGCTGAATGGGGAGTGCAGAGGTGGAGACAACGTTGGAGGGAACAGGGAAAGAGCAGCCTTCGAGGACTGGAACTACCATAGTGGACCCTTAAGCAGGCTTCCGCTCTCCATCAATGATGAATACCAGCGCCTCCAGTTGCCTGGCTCTAAACTCTGCCCGGAACCTTCAGAAAACCCCAGGAAGCTTTTCTTACTGGCAAGCACAGCTAAGAAAATCTTTGTTGTGGGGGATCAGGAGACAAAGGGCTCTGAAGAATAAAAGTGGGGGTCTCCTGACCAGCTCCTGATTTGCGTGCACTGTGTCTCTGTGATGTGATTCCTAGCCTCTGCTGACCCCGAAAGTTTCAGTGAAGTCTGCTCACACACAAAGGCTTCCAGGAGGAGTCTGGGAAGAAATCACAGCAGCAAGGCTACTGTGCATCTCAGTATCAGGAAGCAGGAGGTGGGGGGGTGTTCTGCTGGAAGCAAGATCTAAGGAAGCTCACGAACCCAGTGGGGCCAGCACAGTGTCAACACTGACAGGGGGCGTCACAGAGAGCATGGATGAAGTACGGAGCTTCCCATCTTGATTTTATTTCTACGGCAGGTTTTTAATAAAATGTTTAGAATAATTAAGAATTTATATAACATTGTATAATAATAATTAGAATAGCTTCAAAGAAAACGAAGAGGGTTTTTCCTACTCTTCAGTTTTCCTGAATGCTCAGATCTCATGTAACCACAGTGCTTTACCAAAAGCAAGGGCTCTACGATGGACAATTTACAGTGCTTCTTCAGATTAGATGAATGCCCCATTAACGCGATGGTGTGGGTTCAATCCAGAGTCCCCCAATGCTCTTAGCACCGCAGGCCCTCCATCATACTGAACTTTGACAAGTCGGAGGCTTCAGTGTGCCTCCCATGGCTTTGGTGTACGAAATGAAAAGACGGGGAACATGTTTGCGTTGGGACACAAACGGACAACCACGTGACTCCGCTCCAAGCTCCTGCCCACTTTCCACCTGGGCAAGTAGGAATGCCTTCCAGATTCTACGTTCACCATAAGCTTGTATCCCAAGAGGCCAAGCACAGACCACGCTTAGAGTGGGTCTGTTTTCCAACCCTCTGATCCCACCTTGCTGAGCACTCCTGTGTCAGGCTGACTTCCAGTCCCCATCACTGCAGCCCCATAGCCACGCTACAGAGAAAGTAGGGCTACTCTACTATTTTACATGCGACAAACCCAGACCTGGAAGCTGGGGGCATGGCCGGGATGATACAACTGAGTGGTGAAGCAGGACTGTGAACTGTAACTCAGGCCTGTCCCTTTCTAGGGGTGGACACTACTTGGCAGATGTCAGGACACCAGGATGACACCTTCTCTAGTAGACATTGTCACTGTGTTTAACTCAGGAAATTTGTAACCCACAAAGGCAGGGTCACCAAAGCAGTTCCTGATCTAGCAGCAAGGTGTGCTGGGTTCCTGATAATACCCGGGGGGAGGCAGAGCTCAACAATCACTTCTTCCTATCCAGGGCATGCCCAGATTGTCAATGCTACCCTGGGAGTGATTCCCCAAGGACCCTGCATGCTGGGTCCTGACTCTTATGAACACAGGTTTCAATTAGCATGGATAGGCAGCTCTTCTACTGCCTCTGAGAAATGGGAGCGGGGAAGGCAGTTCTGGTACCCCAGGGCCCAGGTTCTTTCCTTACCAGACTTCTTAAGGCCATCCCTGCTGAAGTCGGAGGACAGCATGCTTAAACGCTTGCCTTTAAAGTCTGTTCCATACCCTTTGCGGTAACCACTGACGAACTTCTTACTGGCATTTGGATCTTGATTCTTGGAGCCATGAGGTACGTTATGCTCAGCAGCCTCCAAACCCAAATAGAGAAATTCCCACAATTAGGTCAAGGATCTGTCCTGGGCCCAGGAAGAGTTCAAGGGGGCTGGAGTGCCCTCTCTTCTGGCTTACTAAGTCTTCACTTTTATTTCTCCTTATCTCTTAGGGGTACAAGCAGCTCATACCTGCAGGCAGGTTGGGAATCCCCTCGAGCTACAGGGCTGAGTGCTCCCACAGTTCTCCAGGCCCTGGCATCCCTGAGTGTGGAGGGATGTGGGTGGAGGAAGGTTCTAAAACTGGACCTCAGGAAAGTAGGGATTGTTGGTGAAGCAGTGCAGGGCGAGTGGGGGTGCAGGAGACTCGTTTGTTGAGCTGTCATTATGGGGCAGAGAGGCATCTAGGGGTCTTCACAAACCTTATGACCAGACATTGTAGCAGAGGAGCAGCTGTGGGGAGAGGCGGAGGGGTAATTACCTTGTTGAAGGTCACCTTACGGCCATCTTTGTCCTGCTTCTTCTTAGCGCCCAGGCCTTTCTTTGCTCTCTCTTCTACACGGTTCGCCTCTTGGTTCTTTTTCTGAAAAGGGCAGGAGAAAGAGATCTGCAGTCGCCCTGTGAGGGTTCCGTGCACTGTCCCTAAACAGGAGAGCACTCCTGGAATGTGGGAATCCAAGTCGTAGTAGCTACACTCTGGAGCCTCTTGTCCCTGTGGACATCTCATCAGTCACTTGCTCAGTGGCCGCACTTTCCTGGGCAAATGCCTGCTCTCTCTATGGTTTCGTTTAGGTTCCATGAGCAATAACCTCTGGATGTGACAGAGCAGCTTGGGAGGAAAGGATTTATGTGGCCTATGTGTCTCTATCACAGCCCATCACAAAGGAAATCAGGGCAGAAACTCAAGCAGGAACCTGGAGGCAGGAACTGCCGTAGAGCCCACGAAGGAGTGCTGCTTACTGGTTTGTTCTCCATGACTTCCTCAGCCTGCTTTTTTTTATACCATCCAGGAGCCCGGGTGCCTCGACATCAGTTCCTGCCTCCAGGTCCCTGCTTGAGCTGAGAGCTTCCACAACAGCCTTTAATCAATGGCTTTAATCAAGATGCCCCACATGCTTGCCTATGGGCTAATGTGTAGGAGGCACTTTCTCAGTTGAAGCTGCCTCTTCCCAGACGGTCCTGGCTTGCATCAAATTGACATCAAAGCTACCCAGCATATTATCCAAAGCCAGGAGTCATCGAGCTGCTTTCCAAGGTCGGCATGGTTTTGTTCAGCTTAGTGGAAAAAGGAGTCAGAGTTTGGGCCAAGGCTGGTTTTGCAAGTGGAGTAAGGAGTAGGGTATTTCCTCCTGCAGGGGCGCTCATGACAGATACTGAATTCCGAGAGATCCAGCAGCCAGGCCCTCAACCCCAGATGACGGGAGGAGCAAGCGACCAGAGATCATTTAGGAGCGGAATGCTCAGCAGAGGCTGGTGGAGTTGGCGCTAGCTCCTGCTGCACAGAGGCAGGTGAGCAGGCAAGCATCGGCCCAAAAGCAGGGTGCGGGGGCTGCAGAGAGCAGAGGGGGTTGTGAGGAGCGGGCCTAACAAAGCTCAGACATGTGGGAACTGGATAACTTTGAATTTGAGATACTGCTTTGTCCTTTATTAACGCTGTGACCTTTGTTCATCCCTATTTTCCTATTTTCCAGCTACGGGCAGTCATGGCTCTGGCCGCACAGTCTGGCTAGAAGCAGTGGTTGACAACGGAGATTAGCTACCGTGCTGCCTGCCTTAGTCATGCTCCCTTCACCTTTTGCTCTGGGGGACAAGAGGCCATAGGAGCATCCTCGGCAGCTGGGGGATGCAGGATGTATCTTCGGACTTGATTTTCACAAATAATGGGCCCAGGGGACCTAAACTCTGGGGAAAAAAGGCCAATTTGGTACCAAGTGTCCCCATGAAAGCGGAATGGGCTGGTGAGATCTGCCCCTTCAGTGGGGGAAGAGTAAGGTATATGCTAGGAGGTGTCTCAGTGGGGACTGGCTGTAGGAACGAAAGATCCACGCTGGAGCCATCATGAGGAGAGAGGAGGCAGGGGACAGTGGGAAGGCTCCATGCCTGCACGGGGACCCCAAAAATTAGTGCGCGTGACTGTTTCCAACACCGACAGGTACTAGCTGTGCCCACAGTTTGACCTAGTGTCAGACAGACTTTTCCCTCACCAGAGACTCTGACTCAAGTGCCTTGTAGAGCGTCTACTTCAGACCACTTGTATTTAGGCAATCTCTTTCTCTTCCTCTCTGAAATAGAAATCTCACCCTGCATTTTCTATAGCAAAGCGTCTTTCTCAATGACTTGAAGCCATCCCTTAAAATATGACCACCAGGAAAGATTGTAACGCTGTCTTTGGTGGGAGAGAAGCCCAATCGTGACAGTTGGCATTAGGAAACACAGCCTAACCAGGGTGAGCGATCTCACCTCTAGGACTTCCCTGCTAGCTTACCCAAGTATTTAAAAAATGATCCCCCTTTGCTCGGGGGTGTCGAATTCCAATTCTTTCTCCTTTTAATAATCTTGCATACAGTCTCGCAGCAATTTCTTCCATCGTACACACCTGGAGGGCACGCTTCTTCTTGCCCTGCCTCCTCTCCAGCCACTCCAGCACCCGGGTGAGGTCGGACATCCGCCTCTCCTCCGCCGTCCTCCAGACGGACTTCCTCTCGGTGGGCTTCAGATCTTTGAGATCTTCTAAGTCTTCTGCCATGCTGATGCCTCAGCTGTGCCCCGCAGGAGAGCCTGCCACTCTTTTCTCTTGGTCCCTGGGTCTGCTGGTGAGGCAGGCTGTGTCCTCTGGATGTAATGATGCAGGGCAGAGGTGGGAAGCAGATGAATGCTGGCCTGGGGGTAGAAGGCCTGGAGAGTGACTGTGAGGTCACTGTTGACTTAGCAACTGTCCTCTAGGTCAGGGGTGGGAGTGGAGGGAGGATGTAAGTTACCTCTCACTTTTCTCTATGAGCTCACACCCCCTCCTTTGGTTACTCTCTCCCCTGGATTTACAACCTCTGTTCAAGTTCTATGAGCTTTTTCTTGAGGATATGCAAGAGATGTCTATTCACCCAAGACAGGGAACCAATGACAGATCAAAATAACAGTCACACCAAAGTTCAAATTGGCTTGCCAATGAGTTTATTGGGGTTACTTAGGCGTATGAGTGTGGGGTTACTTACACAAGTGGAGATGGCTCACAGACCACAGCATCACTGAAAGCCCACCTCACCTCAAGTGATAGCTGATAGATCACAAACATGGCAACCTAGGAGCTCTCTGCTCATCTTCGGGCAGATTGATAGGTCAGTGAGCCTCTTCCAAGCAGCCCTTGCTTCTCTTTAGTTCCCCAGCGATTGCTTTATTATTTTTAAGATTGAAAAAGAAATCACTTTCCCCTTTCCTTCTCCTGGACCCTCCCACATTCTCCCCACTGCTCTTTTTTCGAATTCATGATCTCTTTCTTTAACTGTTACGATTATATACATAATATGTATTTCTAAGATATATTAATTATATTGCTAATACAATTAATAATATATATATATATTTCTAAATAAAAACTACAACTAGCTTAGTCTATATAATGTTATGTGTATGTTTATATTCAGGCTGGCCATTTGGTATTGTATAACCAATGGCTATGCCCATTCCCTAGGGAAGACAATTTCTCTTGCTCTTAGCATTCTTTAGTTGCCTATAGTTTGTGTAGGGTTGAAACCTTATGAGATTTTCCCTGTCCATGTTAGCATGTCTGTTGTGTTGCCCTTGTCCTTGTTTAGCTCCTGCTAGGGCAGCCATGTTGATGAGACCTCATGGGTGTAGATTCTGACAGTTCTAGGAGACACAATTGTTATGAGTAGATCACCAGAGTTGATCACTCAGACACAGTTTATAGCCAATTGAAAGTCTTTATTCCAGCCGGCTGGAACTACACTCAAATATTTGGGAACCTAGGTGTAGCCCCAAGTTTCTAAAATACAGGGCTTTTGAAGGCAACACCCCCAAAACTCAAAGAGCAAAACCCTATCCCAGCATCTTGCTTTGAAGCTGTTGGGGAAGCAGTTGAACAGAAGCTAAGATAAGCAGTTAGCTGGAGGGGGAGGTTTGCACAAGCAAGCAGTTCTACAGAAGCTAAGATAAGCAGTTAGCTGGAGGGGGAAGGTTTGCACAAGCAAGCAGTTCTACAGAAGCTAAGATAAGCAGTTAGCTGGAGGGGTTCTACACAAACAAGTAGGGTTTTTTTGTTTTTGTTTTTGTTTGTTTGTTTGTTTGTTTGTTGTTGTTTTTCTGAGACAGGGTTTCTCTGGATCTTTGGAGCCTATCCTGGGACTAACTCTTGTAGACCAGGTTGGCCTCGAACTCACAGAGACCTGCCTGCCTCTGCCTACCAAGTGCTGGGATTAAAGGTGTGCGCAACCACTGCCCAGCTACGGGTAGTTTTAAGAGAAGCTAACTTAACTCTGATATCCTGACCTTTGATTCCTAAAGTAGAGCTGAGTAATTTTCCATGGGATTCTTCATCAAGAAGATAAAATTCCAAGACCTGAAATGGCCTCAGCAAAAACTCGAGATAGAAGAACCTCTGCACTGTCTTGCCCTCTCACACAGTCTCACAGCAAACTCCCTGTTCCCTGAGCTCTTACAATCTTTCTGCCCCATCTTCCACAATGATCTCTGAGACTTAGGTGCAAGAGTTGTATTGTAGATGCACCATTTGGGACCGGGATCTACAACTCTGTTTTGATTGGGTTGTAGATGTTTTCTGTAGTGGCCTCCATCTACTGCGAAGAGAAGATTCACTTATCTTTCTGTTGCTATAATAACAAATATTTAGAATATTGTTAGGAATTATGTTGGTTTAATAAAGTGGCTGTCACAGGTTCTCTTCTAAGATCCATGACCTCACTAGCCCTGAGTGGTTGACTAGGTTTCTAGTAGCAGACATGATTTCACTCTTGTTAAGTGGATTGTAAGCCCAATTAGGGAACTGTTTGTTACTGCCAAGGCATGTACCCCACTACTGTACCTTTGGGGTTACTGAGCTGTGCTCGTCATCAGAGCTAGGTAAATAGATAACAGCCTAGTTGTGTTAGACATAATTGTTAGGTAGGCCTATTGGTTGCTTCTCTCATTTGGAAGCTTGCATGGTGCATTCTGGTACCATGAAAGCTAGTCCTTAGGAGGCTTTCAGTCAGCTCTAGCTCAGGGCAGGGGGCATTTGGGCACTAGATTTTAAGTACATATGTCTTAGGGTTTCTATTACTGCGAAGAGACACCATGACCATGGCAACTCTTATAAAGGAAAACATTTCATGGTGTCTAACTATTAGTTCAGAGATTTAGTCCAATATCATCATGGCTGGTTATAATGCAGCGTGCAGGCAGACATGGTGCTGGAAAAGAAATAGAGTTCTACATCTTGATCTGCTGGCAGCAGCAGCAACTGTGTATCATACTGAGCGTAGCTTGAGCACAGAAGACCTCAAAGCTCACCCCCACAGGAACCCACTTCCTCCAAGGCTACACCTGCTTCCACAAAGCCAGCCTCCTAATAGTGTCACTCTGTATAGGAGCTATTTTCTTTCAAACCTGACCTCACACAGTGTCTTCAGCAATAGGGCCTTACCTTCCATCCCTGGGGGAGGGGGGACAAACAAGGGTAACGTCAATCACCTGTAATGTTTCTGGAGTCTGGAGCAATGCTGAATAACTCAGAAGAGGGCTTCTCATGACTGGTGTTGGGGTTTTTGTTAGATGGTCTACAGCTTTGAGGGAAGCATTGTCAAGACGGACAGGAAAATTTTATTTCAATTATATCTGCATTTCATACACTGTCTTATGTGTATCACAACTTTTTTAGGTAGTTAATAATATGATTTTTTATGACTTTTCAGACAGCCTCATTATTATTTTACCCTCCCCATTTCCTTTTTCTGTATCTATCCCTCCCCTCTGCCCTAATTAAAGTCCACCAGTTTTACCCACTTTTTCAATTCATTTGTAACCCTCTTTGCTCCCTCCATTGTCCCTCCCCCCCACAATGGTCCATTTTAACTTTCTGGTTCTGTAGTTACTTCAGGTTACCTAGCAATTGTTTATTGGGTCTATAACTTTTTGGGGGGAGGACTGCCTGTCTTGTTCATTTCATTAACTTCTTGAGACTCCTAAGTTGTTTGTTCGTGAGGCTCATGATCTTTCTCCAAGCTCTTTCATGGAGGTAATGTTTCAACTTAGGACTTCTTGAATCATCAGGAGCCTCCCTAGCTCCTATGAACTATTTTAACTCGGAGGAAATTGCCACACAAACTGGTTTTAAATTCTTTTGGTTTTCTCTTCCATGCTGTTCCCTGAGCTTTATAGAGAATGGTACAGATGACATTGGACGGCTCTACCAATTGTTCCCAGGAGCTTCCCTGGGGGGTTATGGGTCTCTGTGGTACAACATCTGCTGTAAAAGGAGGCTCCCTTCCATGTCCAGTTGTGCCTGACAGCAACAATGGCCTATGGGCTTAAGCATAAATGTTCATAAGTCAGTTTGATAGATACATCACACCCATGTAACAAACAGCAGTGGCCTTCCTACTGGGGCCTGAGATCTCTCTAGCCACAAGTTTTTGTATTGACTTATAGTTCCAGACACGAATGTCCTCCTGTTAAGTGATCTTCAAAGTTAATCAGAAACCTGTTGGCTATACCCATGATAGTTGCACCATTAATGCACCAGCAGACACATCCCACCTGGTATTTTGGTACCATAGCACACAAAATCTATAGCTCAGCAGGACCCTTAGTGTCATTTCTTCCCCAGCAGCCCACAACGCACCTTCCAAGACTATGAAATTCAGCTGGTAAGGAGGGAGCTTTCAGCTCAGTCCAGCTTTATTTCACCATGTCTTGCCATCAAAACCTCTGGTATCTTCAGCACTAGGGTTTTAACCTATAGTTATGGGTGTTTCTTTGAGATTCCTGCTCACAAATAAGACCATGGAGATTTCTTATTAATCATGAAAGCTTGGTCTTTACCTTAGGCTTGTTCTTACAACTTAAAGCAACCCATTTATGTTAATCTACATTTTGTCATGTGATGTTACCTCTGTTTCATCTTGCACCTCCTGTTCCCTCTTCATCTGGCTGGCAATTCTCACCTTCTTCTTCCCAGAGCTTTCTTTGTCCAGAAGTCCTGGATATATCTCCTGTCTATTGGTCATTTAGCTTTTAATTAAAACAATCACAGTGACATAGTTTTATACAGTATAATAAAATATCTCAAAAACATTTCCCCCTTTTTTGTCTAAATATAAAGGAAAGGTTTTAATTCTAACATAGTAAAACTATATACAATAAGAACAATTATCAGGGAAGAATTACATTTATAATGTCCAGTCCATTTGCATTTGGAAAATTTAGAAAAAATATTATTGCTATTATCCCATCTTAGTTTAAGTTTTATACTTAAACCATTTTTTGTCATAACTTGTATTACCATCCTAAAAATATCTTTTTAGACCTTAAAACATCTTTTTACATAAACAACTCAGTGTTTTATGCTTTCAACCTTATAAACTTTCATCTCTTAAGTTTCTTTTTTGAATTTGGTACAAGGAAAGCAGTAAAACTAACTATCTAGTCTTCAGTCTCCATCAGAGACCCAAGAAGGATAAGATATTAATTGAACAAACAGGAAATGCAGAGAAGGCAACTTCCAAAACTATAAAAAATGAAATGACAGAAACATCTGGCTGCCTGGACAGTCATACACGGTTCCTTTGAAATGTTGTTGGGGTAACCATCTTTTTGGCCTACAGGCATAGAAGATCTGACAGACTTTTCTGTGAAGCAGGAATTTTTAAAGACT